CGAGCCAAAGAATAAATACTACTCCCTTCATGTTAAATTATAAAATATTTTTAAATAAAATTTTATATATTAATAAATTATATATTAATAAATTTTATTAAATATACTTAATAATCTTATTTTTTAAAAATAAAAATATAAACTTTTAAAAATATTTTATCATTTAATATATTAAAAAAAGATAAAAATTAATTATAAAGAAGAAAGGATAATATTAAAATTCATATATTTAAAAAACCTTAATTTATTCAAATTATTTTATATTTTGTGACCGAAAAAATTCTTCAAAAGTACCCTATAATTTAAGATGGAGGGAGTATTATTTTTATTATTGAATTCAAACAACAAACAAATAGAAAATAATGTACAATAACCAATGACTAAGCTAAAGAGAATGGGTTCTATTTGCCCATTAGTGCGGCAATTTTTCCGTGATATAAAGGAAATTAAACTAAGGATGTGGATGTCGATGGTGAAAACTTTTTCCCCTTGCATTTTATCTAATATTTGGTTTGATTATTCTAAAGTTAAGGGTTTTCATGCCAAAATAAAGATATTTCCTAACATAACAACAAAGATTCAATCTCATCATATTCTTAAAAAGATGTTAAATCCCTATCAAAGGATAGCCCTTTAGGTTGTAATTATATGAACTCCTTGATACATATCTCATGAAATTGTAAGTCGCTTACTTGCAAAGAAGTTTGGAAAATGTGGATTTGAACTTAAGCTTTTTGAACCTAAATTTCTTTACTCTTTCAATAAAAGAATTGATGATTTGAAATGTAAGGAATGACGTGAATGCCGAGCTAAAAAAAAAAAAAAAAACTACTACTTGATAGAGATTTTTTGCTCTTTGTCTATTGTAACATTTAGAAAATGAGATACAACATTTTTCCTAAAAAAGACATCTCAAACTGAGATATGGCATCAACCTGTACACTATGCATGATCAATGATTAATATGTATTTAAAATAATTGCTCAACAAAGAGATTTGAAAGATTAGAAGCCAAATCAACAAAGAGATTTGAAAGATTAGAAGCCAAATGAAGCTCCAAAACTAGGTCGTGTCAGACTTAACATTGATGGTTTGGTTAACATCAACACACATCAACTTGTGGTGGCCTCATTGACTAAAAAATTAAATTAAGGAATTTTCTAAATGCCTTAATTATCATGTTAACACTGTTAAAAAACTCCTAATATTCTAAAAGCTCTTAATCTTTGTTTGGATGCCAAGCCTCCTAGAGTCAACATTTAGTCAGTTCTCTTAAAGTCATGTCACTCATATACAATCTAGTTTTTCCTGCAATTTTACATTGAATCTATCAATATTATTGTCAGATATAAAAATCTCTCTGTTATAATTATTAAAAACACTTTTATGAAAGATTTAGAGTTTCAAAAATTAAAAATACTTTGATAATAAAGTTTTATTAATGATAGTTTTTTAATATTACTCTTTTTATATATTATCTTTCTTCAATATTTTTCATCAATGAGTATTAAATGAATGAAATTTTTAAAAGTTTATATATTTTTGTCTTGAAAAAGTAAAGTTATAAAATATATTAACAAGCTTTATTGATATATAAAATTTTATCTAAAAGTATATGTAATTTGGGACACAGAGATTATTAGGGATTTCAAATAACTTCATAACGCTTTAATATTTTTTGAGAGATTATATTGAAATCTTATATAAAGAAATTAATTATTGCAATTGAACTAATTATATTGACAAACACAATCAGTTGTCAATACAGTTTAGTTCATTTGTTAATAAATTTTTTAATAATTAATTTTTTTATGTGAGACTTGATTGTAATTCTTTCATATTTTTATGCAGTTAACATGCTCTAAGCCTCTAACAGTCCTTTAGTAACATTTTATCATGGAGACACACTCATATCATTTTATTACATTTTTTGACTTGACACTGATCAATTGATAGGTTGAACAAGTAAAATATTAAAAAAAATAAAAAATATTAATTTAAAAGGAGAATGACAGTTAGGTTTAAATAAATACATTAATGATAATTAAATTCCTGATAAAATTTTTATATAATAAATTATAAATATCAATTCAAACAGTTATAAATAAAAATTTCTGCTATATTTAAGAGTTACATTTAATATTTAAATACTTATTTATAATTAAAAATCTTAAATTTATTATAATCTAGATTGATATTCTTAACTTTTTTTCAAAAATAAATTTATCAAGGACTTAACTTTTATTGATTCAATATTTTAGGACCAAAATGTCATTTCTCCTAATTTAAAATAGACACAAACCAAACACGAGTGCGCCTTAATTCATTGCGTCAATCTTCCAGAAGTGGCTGACCCCATGAACCACTTGCGGCCAAGCAGATGTGACTCCAGTCGGCTGTCACGTACCTGTGGAAACAGAAAATATTTGCGAACTACTGAGTTAAGCTGGCAAAAATTTAATTAAGATTGAAGGACACGTTTATTCTTTCATTTATGTAACATTTTAATTTGATTTTTTAATCCTATAAAATATATTTTTCACTTTTTGATATTAACAGTGTTTACTTTTTAAATATTGATAAAATATTATTAATTATTGATATATTAAATTTATTTTTAAAAAATAATAATGATTGATGTAAAAAATCATTTAAATCTACAAATATTAAATTAAAAATTTTAAAAAATATTTTATAAATTAATTGTGGCAAATCTTTCTCATTTTCTTTGGCTAAATAGTACTTTCTCCTGTCTACTTTATTAGTCATTTCTACAATGGTGATGTGATTTACTTTATAAATAATTTAATTGATAGTAATATTTTATTTCAAATGAAATATCTAAACTACCGTTAAAAAGTTAGAGAGAAAAAAATAAAAAAATAATATTATATAATTTATTTATTTTTGAAGGATATGTTTGTAATTTTATTAAATTTTATTCTTTATTTTTTGATACATTGATGTTAATAAAAGTAATAGAAATAATTTATAAATAAAATTAGGGAAAGTAATTGCTATTTTCACTTGGCATGTTTGTTTATATATGATGTATGAGACACGTGTTAGTTATCTAGAATCTACATAAGCCTTAGCGGGGAGGGGTCTTTCCTTTTGCTTTCCTTCACTTTTCTCTACTTCTCTCATTTCCATCATTCAAATTATTTTATTAAATAATTTTTTAAAATAATAAAATTAATGAATGATGAGAATAAGGGAAATGGAAAGAAGTGAAGGAAAAAAAATGAAAAGACCTTCTTTCCAAGCCTTACCTATTTACAAAGCTGTCCATAACATGTTTTGCTTTAAACTTTGAACAAAGTAAAATATCACATTTTAATTAAAAATGAATGCATAAACCTACCTTATTTGAAACCTTCAGCAACTGAAGGCGTGGCCAATGTAATTTATTTTCGGAAAAATATCATTTAAAGATCCTTATAGTGTTTTAATTTCAAATAAGGATTTTAAAAATATGAAATATCACTACATTCTTGAGACGTTTATAAAAATAAGATTTTGAGGAAGAGACATAATTATCCATGTAATAATTTACAAGCAGTATAGATAATAAATCATTTGGCTATTAGCAAGTTACTATATACATAATTAATAAAAAGATGTTAATTTATAAACAAATTATAAAAACTTACAGACTTAGTTTATTATTTATAATCAAATGGTAACTTTTCAGCAATTGAATGTTTTGTTGTTTATATTATAGAAAAAGTTATAAAGTTAAACCAAGTCTATCAATTTTTGTAATTATTTTATAAGCAAATATCCGCTTATTAATTACATATAATAACTTGTCAATATCTAAATAATTTATTATTTATATCAGAACAAAACTTGTAAAGGGCTGCAGGAGTAGTTAGGTCTTTTTTTTTAATTTTAATTTTATTTTTAGACAGGTTCCAGAAAAGTGCCATAATATTTTAGATTTTTTGGATCCTTATTTGCTATTAAAATGCTATAAGGATCCTTAAATGATTTTATCCTTTTTATGTTTCAAGCTCTCACAACACAAGAGATGCATTGTTCCTATGCTATCAATAGTAAATTTACCTTACATTTTATGTAAAATACGAGACCCACGCCCAATCCTTCTTATAGTCAACCAAAAAAAAGAAGGTCATAAGCCTATTTATTGGAACAAAAGAACGAGAATTAAATCCTTAGCACACAAAATATAAAATCTCCTCACATTTTTTCACAACCCACGAATGGTATAAATTGCATCTTAAATTTTATGTAAACACACATGATGATGGAGAATTAAGAGGAGTGCTTAGTGCAATTTTTTTTTCCAAAACAAAAGTTTAGGTGTGTTAGTTTTTGAAAACTCATTAAAATCAGGATATACGTCCAATTTAAGTGACGCTTACAAAGTATTTATAGAGGCCCACCAGCAAGACAAAGATAACTCCAAAAATTATTCTGCAGGGAGACCATGACTAAAATTTAATCCAAAAGTGGGGGATAAAATTAATTTTAACATTTTTCATAAGCAAAATCTTACCCATTTGCAAATAAAAGTTTTGAAGCATGATGAGCAAAGCCCCTGTTTGCCCACCGAATTTCTCACTCTGCAACAAAATTCTTATATTGATGGCAAAATTTAAACCTAAAAGTGATTGGAACTATTTTTTTTTTTGGCAAGAAGGAATTCTTCATTCATTCATTGATCACAAGACCGCATGCAAATACACCCGACCTGGACTGGTTATACGGAAATTAAAAAACTCATATTTATTTGTAAATCATGCATAATTTTAGTTCATGTAGTTATTCTATGCCTCTTGTGTGGGCTTGTTAAGTTGTCATTACCAAGGAAAGCCTTACAAATACCCTGATGATGCTTATTCAACATACAGACATTACATAACTCCAATTCTATATATGTAAGTTTTTCCCATTAAAAAACAAAAACCATATATTTAGCCCCAAAATTAACCGAGAAGAAATATTTGGAGTATGAATCAAGTGAGATTTCATTAATTGTCACAATCTTGAGAAAACGAAAGGGGATGATAATAGGCTTAGCACATCGCCTTTCAGTGGCTTCGTTTCCTGGTCCTTCGCCGTTGAAGGGAGGAACGGAAAGCGGCGGTGTCTCTGTGCGGAGCAAGAGATAGAGTGAGGAATTGAGGAAGGAAGCAAATAGCATCTTGAACCAAATTAAAAGGCAAAGAGAAAAAGGCTCCGTCAATAAGATGACGTGACGACCATCCCCGCTACGCCCAACATCATTGGGCCACCATTCGATCTTCCAAACTCGTCGGAGAATATCATAATTACCCTACACTTTCTTCTAGTGCTGCTAAGTGCTTCTTAAAGGAACAAGTTTCGATTCTTTCTTTATAATCCCATATAATGCTGGTCAAAAAAATATAATCCCATAATTTTTTTTTCTCTCCAGAAAAAAAAAATTAATCTCCAGATGGGCATCTGTTGGAATTGGACCGTTTCTGCAGCTGATTTTTCTCTTTCTGTTTCTTGAATTCGTAGTGGGTTCTCTTGGGGGAATCATATCTGGATATTTTTTAGTGGGTTCTTTCGGTTTCTGTTTTTTTTTTTTCTTTTCTCTTTTCTTTTTCTCCTCTTTGGAGCAGTAATAACGATGGGGAATGTGAATGGGAGAGAAGATGGGAATGGAAGTCCCTCAGGGGCAGAAGAAGAAGGTGGAGGCAGTGGCAGTGTCCAGGAGGCCATTTCCGCTTCGAATAATGTGTCTTCTGAATTGATGGGTCAATCACCCCCAACAAGCCCTAGAGCTACCCAATCTCCGTTGATGTTCACTCCGCAAGTGAGTTTCCTCTCTTTCTATCTGGTGCCGGCTTTTTCATTTATTGTGGAAATGGGTGTTTTTTTAGTTGAATGCTCGCCGGAGATGTTTAAAAGATCCTTTTCCCGTTTTCTTTTAGTGAGTTGATTATCTAAATCAATAAATGAAATGAAATGGGAAGATCAATGGGTTTTGGTTGAATCCAATTCTTTGGAAGATTGAAATGCATTCTGGGCTTCGCTTGTTTTTCTTCAGAATTTTTTTTCGCCATATGGTGCGCACCCGATGTTTGATTCAAGTCCACTGTTGCAAAATGAAACTCTCTCCCCCTTTCTCCCCTCTCTCTTAAATTATTCGGTTTCTTTTTCATCTGTTACTCTATAGCCTTGAGGCTTCACGTTGTGATTTCTAACAACTTGATATCTGTAACGGGGAGCTGATTCATAACGTTGCCATCTCTGAGCTTGTTTTGAGCAAGTAGTTTGTCTGGGAACAAAATTGAATATTTGTTGTGAGTGGGTTGGGAAGCAAGGTATTGGGATCACCTCAAAAAGAGCTTTATTGACAGCTTTCTAGAATCTTGTCAACCCAAGAATCAATATCCTACCCCCACCCGCCTCCACTAACAAGTTGATTGTGGGGATTATTGATTGGGACATTTTGAGGTTTTCTTTTCTTTCTGACCGGTCTGATTCTGAATTTTTCAGTGCTTACCATATAATCCTTGGTTGTTATTCTTCTTATACCTGTCTCAAATTTTCTGCTTCCCCTATCATTAGGTTCCAGCAGTTCCACTCCAAAGACCTGATGAGATGCAAGCTCCAAGTCATGCTTGGATGCAAGCTTCTTCAGCATATGACGATATGAGCAATGAACAAGGAATTCCAACGATGATTACTTGGAGTTATGATGGGAAAGAAGTAGCTGTGGAGGGATCATGGGATAATTGGAGAATGAGGTTTGCAAAAGCTTTAGTCTTATTTATTTGTTTTCAAATGTAGTGTTGATTGTTATTCAGATTCTAATCTTCGTTGTTTTCAGAATGCCCATGCAAAGATCCGGGAAAGACTTCACTATAATGAAGGTATTGCCATCTGGTGTTTACCAGTACAGGTTCCTAGTTGATGGACAGTGGAGGTATGCTCCTGACTTGCCCTGGGCTCAAGATGATGCTGGCAATGCCTACAACATTTTAGACTTACAGGTACTTTTCTTTTTTATATTGTCTGCATGTACTCTAAATCAATTTGACAGTTCTCACGCTTAGGAATTCATAAACAATCTCTCAGTTGAGCAAAGTAACTATGTCCTTTTAACAACTAAATTATATGAGTGGGTTGATTTTTTAACACAATTATGGCTTTTGGTACAAAATGAACCTTGTATGAGGTTATTGTGACAATCCTTATCTTTTAGCGACTTGTCTTTGAATGCACTTTTCTCTTCAGGCATTCAACAGATTTCTTCTCTTTTTACTTATCTTCTACTCTTTGACCAAATTCCTATTCTCTTATGAGCAAGAATATTTTGTTTCTACATGCATTGTTTCTAACCTCACAAGTGCACTCAATTCCCTTCATTTGACTTGTGAGCAGAGGCGTCAGCTGATCTGGTGACATGTTTTACTATTTATTCTATAGCTGCATTGCTTGATAGTGCTTGTACACTCTTGCAGACTGTTTTTTGAAACTCTGTTATTTATGGCTCTGATCTTACATATATTAGGCAAGGCTGTGCATTTGCCTCTCTAGCAGCTAAAGTTCTAATAGTCTTACTATATATGTGGGATTATGACTTGCTAATATTGTGGCACAAGTTATATTGCATGGCCATAAGTTCAGTTTGTCTGTTAATCTTATAATTTTCCTTTAACTTTACTCTCTCTAGTCCTGTTTATAGGGCAGAGAGAGAATAAAAAATTTGGTGTGTTTATAGGGCATTTTGCCAATTTTCAATACTTTTTTTTTTTTCATTTTTGCTGTATTAAATACTTTGAATTAAATATATTAATAATGAGATTTAAGAACATTTCTTAGGGGCAAAGATGGAAACTTGTTTTAAATTATAAGACAGAGTTAATGAGGTTTAAGGTTCTCCTTAGTTCCTATGAAATATGCTTGAATTGATTTATAAATAAGACCAGAGGGAGTACATCGGAACAATTGTCTCTCTTTTACATGGATCACATCATCAATTGGACTTACTGATCTTTTGAGGTTCAGATGTACTAGATTTTGACTGGGACATTGTACCATAGGTGGTCTGGAATTTCAGTTTTCTGAGAGAGAAAAGTGGCCCGGGGGGTGGAAGGAGAGGAGTTAATACTGAACTTGATTTACCCAATTTATACATGTATTTTTTTTTTTTAAATGGTAGGTAAAGGAGTATTAGTAGCAGAGAGATGAGAATGTTACGATGGATGTGCGGACATACACGTAAAGATAAAATTCGAAATGAGCACATACGTGAAAAGTGAGGGTGGCACCTATTGAGGAAAAAATGGTAGAAAATCGGTTGAGATGGTTGGGCATGTACAAAGAAGACCAAGAGAGGCACCAGTGAGAAGAGTGGAACATATAACTTTGAGTCCGATTAAGAGAGAGGTAGAGGAAGGCCTAAGAGAACACTCTTGGAGTTGTTGAACGTGATCTCTTAATTAAATATATTCTAAAAGCTTTATAAATGATAGAGCACAATGGCGTCTTGCAATCCATGTAGCCGACCCCACCTAGTGGGTAAAGGCTTTTGTTGTTGTTGTTGTTGTATGTGTAAAGGATTTCTCTCTGTAGCTAAGTAGCTGGAGAAGTTGCTTTGCTTCTTGAATATTCAAGTTGTATTTTGGATACATACACATGCATGGTTACAGGGAAAATTTGCAAATCCTAGCCAGGAGGGAGAAAGGTTGTAAAATTGATGGTGCTATTGCATATCTTGCAGGACTGAAAATTGGATGACTTTGTTATTCTCCTGCATGAAGGAATTGGTACTTGAAACAGAACTCTTGAGATTGATGGTCTTTTTTAATCATTTGCAGGATTATGTTCCTGAAGACATTGGAAGCATTTCTGGTTTTGAACCTCCTCAATCACCAGAATCAAGTTATGACAATCTACAACTTGGTTCTGAAGATTATGCAAAGGAGCCTCCATTAGTTCCGCCGCACCTGCAAAATGACACTGCTTAATGTGCCTGCTACAAACATGGAGATTCCACCTCCTTTGTCAAGACCTCAACATGTAGTGGCTAATCATCTCTACATGCAAAAGGGAAAAAACCAGTCCTTCAGTGGTTTGCGCTTGGTACATCGCATCGGTTTCTTGCCAAATATGTTATGTGGTGCTGTACAAGTCTTTGCAGAGGTAAACGTAGATGGGCCCGGACCATGTAGTCCTCAAGCCTTTCATTAGTTAATGTATCTTTGAGTAGTATAGTAGTATGAGATAAATGCTAACGCTCATGAGTCATGAAGCAATTACATGAAGTTGAGATTGTACTACATGTAACGGAACTGCTTGACGGCCATTTATCAGACGATCTGGTTCCCGCAAGTAAATTATTCGGTTATGTTTTTCTTTAGGAATTTTGTTTAAATAGAAGGGGGAAGTGATAATATGCTATTATCACATGTAGCTGAATATACACTTTGTTGAGTTATCCTATTTGAATGCCCATGTCACTGCATTTACATTTTTGCCCCTTGGAGTAGACTATCATTTGGATTCCTAAAGATGCTTGTTCACTCATTGTATTGTGTCGTAGGAACATAATTACTATGACTTGACTCCATAATTTTTTAAAAGGCCATCGGTACAGTTACACCAAGAAGTCGGATCTGTTGATGGGTTGTTAGAAATTTGAGTGTAAAAAATAGTGATAGCCTCTTAAGGACTGATGGATGGAAAATGCTCCTTTTTTTCTGGGGAGGAATTAGACCATGCTTGATATGGAGTCATCATTTGTGCTTCCTTTGTCCTTTGTGACTGAGGAGGATAAAGAGGAGAAGCTTTCTTACTGAGCAGTGCGGAAGTGGTTTTTTTTTTTTTAATTCTTCTTTTGTTTTACAGATATCGTTCTATTTAAACTGAGGAGGATAGAGAGAAGCTTTCTTACTGAGAGTGAGGAAGTGATTTATTTTATTTTTTATTTTTTAAAAAATTTTCCTTTTGTTTTTCCGATGTCGTTCTGTTTGTTACCCACATTCTTGCTGGATTGTGCAACCAATCAGTTTTAAGGTGTAGGTTCATAAAAATTTTGGTTTCCCAAGGACTCGAAACTATAGTTGTAAAAGTATGGGCTCTTAACAAGTAGGCAAATTTAAAGTTATGCATTGTATGCATCCTTAAAATTATTTAAGCGCTTTCTTTGCCACATCTTATTCTAAAAGGAAAAGGTATTGTGTATGATCTTTCACACACTGGAGAAGTTGGAACACTCACTCACAAACATGCCAAAACGACGACAGAATTTCTTCCTTTTCAAATGTTGCTCTTCCGTGCGCCATGGGAAAAGCTTAATATGAACAAAATGAATGCTTTCTTGGAAAACTTACGTTTGTGTCATAATCAATTATGAACACTGTTGATGTCAACAATTTGGGTTGCTCAAAAAATACGTTTGCGGAATGATTTTCTTCAGAAACTAGTTAGCTTTAGGAGTCTTGATTATAAATTGTTTCTGATTTCGTGGATCTGAAAAGATTGTACTGCAAGGATGCATGATTGAAAGAAGCGTGTGGGAGGTGGAATCTCCTTCAATCGTGACTCCCACCTAAGTAGTATCTGATGCAGCTATGGTGGGGCATGGCAAATTTTTGGCTCATTCGCCTTCCTTTATATTCGCTGTCAATATAATTCTTTGATTTGTTTTCTTTTGACAGCCTAGCAGTTTTCATTTTGGTGCCACCTGCTCTGTTTGATTTAACTTTTGAAGTGGCAAATTGAGTGTCAGTGTTTTCTGGTTCTTTGATTATTTATGTGGGGAACTGGTTATGCACAAGCTGTACATCTATGATTCAGTAGTAGCTGCTAGGCACAAAAAGGGAAGCCCTCCAAAACTCAAAGCCTCTACAGTCCTTTAGAGTGAACTGAGAAGTTAGTTGAGGAGAGAATGAGAGGGTCTCTCTCACTCGCCCCGGGACTCTGAAGGTGGCCTAGCCCAACCCGTTTGCACCTCTTTGGCAACAGTGTGCGGTTTGCTTCAGAGAATCATATATAATTAACACTCACAAACAAATTTTGAAGTGACTACATCAACAATTAAACTCCAAAAAAGTTGTCTATAGAGAAGCGAGAAGGTAGTTGTAGGTGAACTTAATCCAACTAGAATATAAGCCGCGCTAAAGAATACTGAGTTTGTAATTACAAAATGAAGATCGTGTATACACTAGGAGTACTTCCTTACAAAATTTGAAATGAAGTGATTGAATACTTAAATTCCAAAGAAGTTGTTTATAGGAACCCAAAAAACAAGATTGGCTGAGTTATCTGTGGATTATCAATTTTGCCTTGAAAATTTTTCCGCTACAAGTGATCTTACAACAGGGAGGAATAGGCGTAGGAATAACAATGAAAGTCCAAGGTGATGTTAATCAATAATATTCGATTCCATGCCCACCAACCCAATTAGCTTCTTCAATGCCTTTCTTTGCATCATCTATATTTTGAGTCCTTTAATATTGACACTATTAGTTCATTAACAAAAAAATTCTTACATTAATATTTTATATATTGACAAAACATTCTCAAATGTTAAAATATAATAATGATGATAATAATTAGCACAAAAAAAATAATCATTTGAAATTAATAGTAGTATGATTAGAGGACTGAAAATATTTTATAAAATTAAGGGGCCATGTTAAGATTTATATAAAATTAAAGAATCAAAAGTATACTTTAGTCCTTTTAATTTTTATATAATGTTTTATTATTATAGTCAGTAATTTCAATGAAAGATAGAATTTAAAAGTCACCTTATTTTATAAATTTAAGGTACCAACTACCATTTTTTTAAAAACCACAAAATTAGTCAATTTTATCCTATAGTTAGCATCAAAGTGAATAATATTTACCTCAATTTTTATAAACTAAAGACATGTAGTCATAAAATGAAATGGGAAGGTCATTAATAGGAAAAAGGGGCATGAAATAGATTTTTTTTCCATAGCTGTGTAGTTGTGGAATGCAACGGCGGAGTTAAGAAATGCACAATAACTTTCATAGAATGTTTAAAAGGGTAAGAAAAGTTGGGGCAATTAGTGAATGTGTCAATCAATTTGGGAACTCTTTAAGAATTTATTATCATTTTTTATAGAAAATATTTGTTTTATTATATTTAAACGCTATAATTTATCAGTATCACTCACCATCAAAGAAAGAAAAAAAGAGACCAGAAATAAAGGAAAAAAGATACGAGCACGCATTTACATAATTGCTGGTCGCAACTCGCAAGACCCGCTATCCTTAAAACATAACCTCATTTCATTTTCACCCCAACAGTAACCTGTATACTTAAAAAAACGAAAATTAAGATCAAATATATATTATTAAATTTTCTACGAAAATCATTCACAACACACAATCACGGCAAGTCATAAAGAACTTGACTTTGATGGGCTACATTCAGAATCCATCTTGTGTACCTGACATTCTTTCACCCCACCACTACAGAACCTACTCAAAAAACTGGGCAACCTTCCACTTTAATTCCCGGAGCTGTCGGACAAGAAGCCAATGGACAGTGATCCACGTCACTGCCCCACCACTTCAAGTTATGGCCGGCGTTTTGCAACGCGAAGAATATCAGCACCCCCATGAACGCCGTGCCTGCGTCCAGCGCCGCTGACAGCACGTAGTTGTACTTCTGCCACCACCGTTTGTGGTACCGGAACACGAAGAAGTTGAAGATCATTCCGGTGAGGAGCCAGCTGGCGATGTTGGTGGGGGTGGCCGGCGGCATCCCAGCGAAGCCGTATGATATGACGGGGATGTTGATGAGAGGGATCCATTTCTTGTCGGGGTAGATTTTGCTCAGAACCCAGACCGAACAGGTAGGACTGCTCCAATGAGGAATAGCCAAACCAGATTCCGGTACATGCCGCCGGGACCAAACAGCCTCCTCGGTCCGATGAGACCCCATATGACGGAGGCGTCGAAGGTGACTCTGTACTTGGGACATGTCCAGGGACTGTCGTGGTGAGCCTTGTCGTCCATGCATATATCTTGAATGCCGTCTAACATCCACCATGCAACTGCTAGATTCACTATCGCTGAAACCAGAGTACCCACCAACTACACGCAACAAATAGATTCATTATCTTATGATAAACACATGGTTTTCATGTTTTAAGAAATCAGAAATTAAAGTACTGAGTTTGGTGGTGTACCTGAGCCACATACATGGAGCGTGGAGGGATTTTCATGTAGTGTCCGAGTTTGAGGTCTGACAAGAAGGAGAGAGCATGCACGGTGCTGATTCTGCCATAGATTTTGAAGAGCAAGTTTGCAATTGGTTTCCCAGGAAGCACATACCCAATCATGAACTGTGCTATTATGTCATATCCTGGTTGCTACAGCATAACACAATTTTAACCCCACAACATTAAAAAGCTCAAACCTCAAAGTAACATGATTCCATGATTCACCCCATTTTTATCCTTCATCCTTACGTCAAGCTCACTTACATAAAAGACAGAAAAGTGGGAATGATTGATTGATTACCTGGTTGGTGGTGGCTTGAATAACACCAATAGGGAGGGTGACAATGAAGGCCAAACCAAAAGCAAAGAGCATCCCCCACCATGGAAGTTGGACATCCTTTTTCCACACGAAAGACATGACAAGGGACAGAAACAATGCTGCCAAGCAGCAATACGAGGAACCACCACTGAGGCACTTGTTTGTATGCTCTCATCAGCCTTGCGTGCACGTCCACCTTCACATTACTCACTGCTGACCTACTTTGTCTCCATATGTCACTGCGCAAAACAAAACCAGTTCACTATAGTCACAGACACATGATTATGCAGTCATCTAAACCAAATGAGCCTCATGACTCATGAGCATGTTTTTTCTCTCTCTGCTATAATGATGCTGGCATACAATATACCTGCCGTGCGTGAAAGAGTGCAACATGAGTGAGAGTTGCTGTGAATCTTGCAAAACCGGATCCGATAGACAGTGCAAAAGAGGACTAAGGTAGAGCTTGCCGTATTTGTTGTAAGCTTCAATGTCGAGATCGAAATTAGGGGTCAAGATCTTTGTGGTATCATACTTGAGTCCATCAGATTTGAACAACTGGTTTGAGAATATTGGGAATTTCCTAGCATCAAAGGTGTTGAACTTCCAGTAACACACAGGAACAATGATGTAGATGAACATGATGAAGCCTATCCCAACATTAACAATGGAAGACCAGGGAGCGACAAGGGGGCTTCCATGGTAGGCAGAAATCCCGGCCCAGTCAAACGTGAAGGCCCCAACACCCAGCCCATGGTAGCCCGAGCCCACTTGATGGGCCGTAATGTTGTGGGGCCAGGCCCAGCAGACCCAGGAGAAGAAGGTTAAGATTGTGAAGAGATAGCCTGGGAGGGCATAGTACAAAAAGCTTGCTCCCATGGCTATGAGGAAAAACTGCATCCTTGTAAAGCCTTTTGTCTTATTCTCTTTTTCATGGAGTGCCCTGCAAAATGAAGTTACTGAATATTAACAAGAAATATTATAAGAATAAAAAAACAACAAAATCTTATTTGGTTCCGGACATAGTTCAGCTTTTTTGTAGTATAAATTCTTTTGAAAAAGATGTTGCGCTTTGCTGATGTAGAAACAGCGATAGCATAATATATGTTATATATATAGTTTCAATTTGAGCCTTTCCCTTTTCAGTGTTGCTCTCTCGTCAGAGCATATTGCGCTAATCGGATAGGATAGCTTATGAATGAACCTACACAATAAAAAGCATAAAAAAAACCTTCCATCCAAAAATCTACCTTTTAACTCCCCACAAGCGCTGAATTCATAATTGTTTCAGCGCTTCAACTTCAACGATTTGACTCCTTACACTTTCAATTCAAAATTTTATTGCAGTAACAACCTCATGACAGCAACATATTAGAACACAAACAAAACTTTAGATCCATGATGCCTCCATTTAGCTAAACTGAACAACTTTGGATAGATAAGTGAGTAATTTTAATTTAGATTAGTCTACCTCAAAGTTGAGAGAAGTATCATATGTAATTTAGTGAAATTCATGGGAGTTAAACATAATTACTCAGGATATTATAATAGTACTGATTGCTACACAGTAACATGTTGGAAAGTTCTTACTGCTTTCAGAGCTGAAACCAGACAGACAAGAGACGTTTGTCCTAGAATTATACGGATATGAAAATCAGTTCAGCTGCTTTTCTTGAACTTTTCTATTTGTTTAAAGCTCTTCCTGTGCATACCTAAACATCTCTATCATGGGATAAAAAATAAGAAGTGTTCAACTCTTTTAATGATTGATTTTAAGATTAAAGAAAGAGAGAGGGAAGAACCTAAATAGAGAGACTTGAGCAAGGTTTGATGGCCACCACATTTCTACAGGATCAACCAGGTACCTCCTCAGAATCCCAGCCCAGCCATATATCCCAAGACCTGCAAATAATCAAATCATCATTCAATCAATTAATTAATTAATTATACAATTCAAAAGATGCCTTTATTATTAAAGCAAAACTTTTCGGACAACTAGAAAGCAGATCAATCAAAGAATATTTTCTCCAGATATAAAAAGGAGAAAAATTTAACAACTTCAGCAAAATAAAATACAAACCAAAAGTAAAGACAAACTTCGCAGACATCGGAGATTAAATTATCTCTACGTGTTTAAGAAGGAGAATTAAAGAAATCGAGTTTGGATTATTTCTTGTTAAAAGCGCCGGCGAGCAACGTATATGGAAGAGTTAAGCTTCCAGGAATTCAAGTACCCATGACAGAAAAAGAAGAAAGCACAAGCAACGAGAATCTTCACAGATTTTGAAGAGAAAGGACCAATCACATCGAAAAATGCAATAACTTGAAAGCCGAGAGATCCAACCTGGGTGGTCAAGACGATGAGAAGAGCACAGAGGAAGCTGATGGTCTGTTTATAATAAGCTTTCATGACAGTAATGGCTCCGATGGAGTAAGCATCCCCTCCTCCGAAGGAGACACCACAGTTAGCAAAGATAGTGATAATCACATGCTCTTTGATGTTGAAAGGCCCTGGATTCAAACTGAATCTCCAGCCGAGCAAGCTGTACTCCTTGGTCGGAAGAACGGAGGCCATGAACTTTCCGATGGGGAGGACGGCGATTTGCATGAGAATGGCGGAGATTGTGAGGGGCTGAGTACGGAAGGTGAAGAATGTATTGAGGAAGATGAGGAGAACGCAGGAGGTAATACCCAGAAACCAGGCCCTGAAAGTCATGACCGGAAGAGAAGGGTCGTCGGTCTCCGGCACCACCAGAGCCACCTCCTCCACGGGACAACGCTCGTCGGAGGCGTCACCGTTGGAGGCCTTCTCGGCGTCGGGATACTTCTGGGAGTTAGGCTTGGACGCCATTGGGGAAGCAAGAGGAGGAGGAGGAGGGAAGGAAACAGGAAAGAGACAAAACAAAAGAAAGAAAAAATAGAGTACTCTGTTTCAGTTACAGAATGGGCCTTTTTTGGTGTTAGTGAGCCGTGTTTGAAAGAGAAAACAGAGTACTTAGTGGCGAAGAGTATTGGTGAGGGGTGCTTATAAGCGAGAGATTGGATTGGGATTTCGGTATGAAATCTCGTAATTGCCCTCGAGGACTGCACCAACTTGGAAATTCAGCAACAGTCACTTCTCGCGCGTGTGAGCGTGCGGTATGCATGTGTCCTGTGTGTGGGTGCGTATAGCCGTAAATACGTATGCTTGCTTGTATGTACACGTATGTTCGTATAAATGTTTGTGTCGTGCATGTGTGAAGCGTATGTGTCGTGTTTGCGTGCATTTTTACCTTATTATTAATTTTTTCACGAAAAGAACAACTATTGCAGTGTTTGCAATACTGTATGAGGCAAGTTTTTTAACCAGTGCTTTTGCACTTAATGCTCATTATCATTTAAGTCGATACACGTGATGAGAAATTCTTGTATGCATCCGTTGTTTAGTCTTTCATGATATATTTAATGAAAATGTAATATTTAAATGTCGTTAAATATAAATTAATTTTGATATTAATGATTAATAATTATAATAGTAAAGGGAAAAAATTCAAAAAATTAAATAAATATTTTATTATAAAAATAAAATCATTAAAAATAATAACATGTAAAATTTTATTTGATTAAATTAGTATAGTTTTATTATGAGAACCGTGAATGAGGCTCCATCCAAGAATTTCTCAACATGCCACTAATGTTTTTTTTGTCCATGCACATTAAATTTTCATAAATTTAGCTTCTTAATTTGAAATTTCTGTATTAAATACCATTTCATAGAAAATATAAAGCAAACAATGGGTAAAAAATTGTCCCAAAAAATCGAGTAACAATCAAACTAATTATAAGCAATAAATAGTATAATCCTTCTCAAATTCTACATAAAGGAGTCAAGCATTCTCGTTTGTTTGTTTTTTTTTTTTTTTAACAGGGAGTCAACCATTGTAGTGGAAGTGAAATATCCAAAAAGAGAAAATTGGGGCAATGGCCATAAAATATACAGGCCTTAAAAATTTTGGACATAGTTTATAAAAATCTAGAGTGTGGCCCTTCACAAATTTGATTAGAATGTGATATTTCTTCTTTGTCTAACAAAAACTCCCTCAACACATAAAAATTTCAGCGCTATATATCCAAAATAGGGGAAAAAAATCCCACATAATTGGTCTATAATTCAGAATTTTGTGTTATATGCACCTAACAATTTAAAATAAAATATAAGATTTTATTAGATAACAATAACAATTCAAACAAAAATTTTAGAATTTCGCATTGTTAAAAATTGTTGTTTATTATATGGTTGAATTTTCTTGGCTTTTCATTTATGAAAGTAGAAGATTAGGTTGAAATATATTATCTATCATCAGATTTCACCATCTTCATATCTTTCGATAACATCAAATTTTTTACAGACCATGTTTAATACATTTTAGGCAAATGATTATATATTTTTGTATTATTGATTTGTGATACTATATCATTGACATATAACTATATATTAATGATAAACAAGTTAGTAAATTTTCACTGACATGACTTATATATCAATGATATATAATAGTATATCACTGATATACTATCACAAATAAACATAATCAAACAATCATACATAAACTTATTTATTATTAACATACAGCTGTATATCAATAATGTAGCATCGCAAATCAGTAACACAAAAATACTTGATTATTTGCCAAAAACTAATCACAAACACAACCTACAAAAAATTTTAGACTCTTAGCTTGTCACAAAAAATTAAATACCGAAACTAATAAAAATAAAAAATCATGAATTTGTAGCTTTGTTTTTCTATGAATGTGCTCCATTTCGTCGAGCACCCTTAATGTCTCTTCCTATTGTGACTATGGCTTAGTCACACTGCTTTGCTTTCTTCTATCTTCAAGTTGTTTCTTCTACTATGACCGTAGCTCTCATTTGCCTCTCTCATTCACCTGATTTCTTACATTTCGAATCTCTTCTGATATTTGCAAAAATAATGTTGTAATTTTAAAATGGCAATTTTGTAAATTAAATATCAACTAAATATTAAAAAGGTCATTTTTAAAATTTAATAAATGATATGCTGTTTTTTTTAATTTGATTTTATGATATGGACTATGTATGAAAAAGCTCCTATTTAGAAGCTATATTGAGTCGTTTGGTTGGTGTAAATTAAGGGATGTGAAAATAAAATGAGATAAGGTGAATGAATCTTACATGATATGGGTCTTCTAATGGTTTGACCATCCATTCATCAAATTAATTATTATAAAATATAATCAACTATATTTAAAACTAATCATATAAATCAATCTTATTTGTAATCAATTTAATTTTATCTTAATTTTTTTTAAAATATTTAATCTTAATTCAAATACACCCTTAATCGAAACTGGCGATTTCCAAAGTTATGGCAATGAGCATCTAAAAATGGATGGAATGGGTAACCATTCCTTCGAATTAAGATAGAAGGGCCACAATACCCTTGTTATCATTAATAATTTGGAAAAAAAAAACATCACAATCAAGAATCCCTAAAAATAATTAAGTATACTGTATGATTAAATGATTTGACATCGCTCCATATGATCAAATAATTTAAATTGAATTAAAATTTATTTTGAAAAGACAAAACTATTTCAATTGTTCTTGATGTGATTTTGTCTTGGAGAAAAACAAATTTTCCTTTTTAAAAAATAATTTCTTATCATCGATTTAGTTAAAAGCCACTTTCCAAAATTAAAATAGTTATTAATTCAACATCTTTTTATTACATGCTTGATCTCTTTTAATAAAAAAAATGAAATAGAAATAGAAAAATTGTTTACAAACTGAAAAATTAAATCAAATATTTTAATGTACTTTTTATGCATATAGTTCAGTGTATTTTGATTAAATAGATGTATGAATGTTTTGTGACAGTGAGAGAAGTTAATAAAAATTATTGTAATGTGTATTAAGATAATGTTATCCAATCAAATAAAAATATAGTCATAACACAGCAAGCATACTTTATTTTAAAGATTTGCTAAAATATATTTTTAATCCTCTAATTTTATATAAAATTTTAATTTAATCCTTTAATTTTGTAAAATATATTTTAATTCTTTAACTCTAACATCATTAGTTTTAAATGATTATTGTTTATGTCAATTATTATTATTTTAAGAAATTAAAGTTAATATGTTAATATTTGAGAATATTTTATCAAATTTAAAGTTTAATATAAAAATTATTGAGATAAAACTAACAGTATTATGATTAAATGACTAAAAGAATATTTTTATAAAGTAAGTGATTAAAATAAAATGGTGTGTAAATTTAAAAGATTATATTTATATTTTAGCCTTAATATTTAAATCTTCTAAAGTTGAGATATGTAAAATTCAGTCAAGTTTATCATTAAAAAAAGAGAGAGAAGATTTTTATATTTTATAAAAAATAATTAATGAGGAAAAATACTAAAAATTATATAGAAATTCATAAATTTCAACCTTAAAGAATTTGAATCCTTATTTTAACATTTCCTGAAACCGGCGATAAATTTAGGGGGCCAACATGGGCTGTGGGCCCCACACTCCAATTTTTTTTAAAAAAATAAGTATAATTTTGTTTGTAAGAAATTTAAAAATTATTATCAACTCCCCATATTTAAATAAAATTTTACCCTCCATGTGATAAATTCTGAATTCATCCCTGCCTGATACCATTTCAGATACCGAACGTGTGAATTGGGATAACTATTATAGAGATTGGAGGACTTGCCTGGTGGCCTATCACTTGTGAAGTGCTTCCTTAAATATTACCCCCTCTTGCCTTTGTTACCGGCGACTTCTAAAAATATTTTTAATCATTTTTAATATGAGATAATTAATGGAGAATTAATTATATTATTTTAATATTATCTTTATTTAAATCATTAACTAAAAGAATGCATTGTAAAATTGAAATTTTTTCACTTAAATAAAAAATAAATTGAAATTTTATTTTGTATTCAAACAAATTAATAATTTAACTACTTTTTTTAAGTTCTAGTAAAATGGTTACATGTGCTTTATACTGAGAAGATGAGAGTAGATTATATGGTGAAGAGGAGTGATATAGACATATATGTACTCCTCCATTTAAAAATATAAATTATTTTAATCAAATTTTAACATTGATAAAGTAGTTGCTTATCTTTAAACTAATATTTTTATATTTTTTTTATTAAACACTCTAAAAAATAATATATTTAATAGGAGTACTTTTTAATAAAAAGATAATAATTATATTTAAAAGATTTAAAATGAATATTTTAAATATTTAATTTTTTAAAAACATTTTATATTTTTTAAGAAGGAATGTGTGTGTGTATTGATATAATTAGATTAGACAGGGACAACTGTGGAAATAATATTATTCAATCCCTTCGAAACCCCAAATTATTTTTAAATTTCAAGAGGGAGGAGCATCCTCTTGCATTTGTCTTTGAAGTTTGAAGAGTCAAGGCATTGCCTGTCACTATTTGTGGACTTGTACTGATTTGTGCAGTCGGCAAGTGGATGCCAAGATGGTGACTTTCTTACCCTCTCGCCTAAAATAAACACTGATACTTCGTCTCAACTGAAACAGGCTCAGCGCGTCAAAATTCTCATTACAATACAAAAAATTAAGAAAATTTTTTTATGTGTTTATAACAAAAAAATAACAAGTAATTATAAATATTATGCAGTATTGTGATAAACATAATGAGATATTGCAAATTAGACATTTTAATTTATTTTGATTGTCTTGTTATTTTTGCTTTATGCATAGGGAATTTTGCATCATGGATATCTATTTCTTTCACGCCTGGTTACGATCAGTTACAAACCTATATTTTGATAGTAATACCATCATTGAGAATGAATCTGAACAATGATTCCATCCCAAGAAAATTGCTAAAGTCGCGTATCAACAAATATTGGAATGTATAGGTTGGATAGATAAATTATATATATAGGAACATTTCGTACATTAGTTCCTTGACATCTGTAGTAGTTTAGGAA